ATCCTGTCTTTTTCTATAGAATCTGAAGACATGAATAACTGAAAAAACTATGACAATGAGCCTACCAGATTTAACCAAATACTTCATTTTCAGGAACACCAGGCGGAACACCTTTTAAACCTGCTCTGATCAACGAAATTAGGTTGCATATATTAGATTTTGCAGGGTGGTGGGCTTTGTTTATTTGTTTTTGTGTCTTTGATTTTTTTCTTTTTAGTGGTGACTTTAGGATTATTTTCTAAAGTCTGATACTGAGTAATTCAAACAGATACTGAGCACTAAGATCAATAACTAAATAACAGTGTGTATGCTAAATAAGTATTAGATACCATACATGCATTATTCTTGATGATAATGAGAACTAAGTTTAATTTGTCAGTCTGTGTGGCAGACCATTTATTCCCATCTCCTTTTGTGTCAATTTTTTTTCCTATCTAAGTCACACGATGCCTTTCTGAGACCTCCAGATTTTTTAATCAACAGGTTCATACAATTTTCCCTGAGCAAGCAGTGGAATTGTCAATTAGTGGTGGCAGGTATTTTGAAAACATTCACATTGGGTAACATTTGTTTTTGCTGTATATTTCCTACTAGCATTTTAGGAAATAAATCTCGTTCTGCTTCTATAGCATAGAATTATTGAATACAATTTTTTGTAAAACATATACCACAAATAAATGCAGAGCTCTCCATAATGCTCCAGAAAAGCACAGACTAAGCATATTAAGTGAGAAAGTATCATCTTCTGACATTATTTCACTACTTCATCCCAACTGCAATGATAATACTACCATTGAGTCTTTGGACCTGAGTAGCCTTTTTCTTTCAGAGCACCCAATTTGTGAAGAAATGTAGTTTGTTTTTCATTCATTGAGTTTCAAAATATGTGGATTCTGCTCAAGAATCTGTAGGAAGGCAAGTCATTATATTACATTGATTACAGTCATTGTTCTTCCATCTCTCTGCTGACTTCTGTCCAAACCAAAGATCTGGGAAACAATAATTGGTCTGAGCATAAAGCTGAAAGTCAGAAGTTTTATTGAATGTGGTGAAGGAAGACCAAGCAGACCAATTGTACACTCTTTGCCTAAAAATTCAAGATGTTTCTAGATTAAAAGTATGACTAACATTAATAACAGTAGTTGAAGCATGACCTAATCTCAGCACTATTATGTACAAACTAATGACAGAAATTTAAGTATTAATTTCATTATAGTAGAATTAAGTGTAAAAAATGTTTGTTTCAGTATTTCCCTACTCCAGCAAGTTGTAATGCAGTTCTCTTTAAAATTAAAATAATTTTAATCTGCAGTAACAACTTCAGTTCTTTTGCTATTAAATGTTCTCTTGATGTATTAGAAATTGAGTACTTAAATATGAAACTGTTTAAATTTAATCATACTGAGTTACCAATACTCTGTACTACAGAGCTATATGCACAATGAATAATTCTGAAGCATAGTTATTGTGCAGAAATGCCCAGATTGTCAGGGCAGTCTTCCTTACGCAAAAACATATATTTTTTTAAACAAAATTAAAATATGTCTGGACAAGCTAGGGAAAGACATACACAACTCAAACCTGAAATTTAATGTCCAAATATTTCCTGAGCAGTTCTGCTCTAGTTGACTCAGCTCTGAGTTGAGGGGATTGGACTAGATGGTCTCCAGAACTCCCTTACCACCCAAGCCATTCTGTGATTCTGTGAAAAAATGAGTGTCATATGTAATGACTAATTCAGACTGTATATCTAATTCTCTAAGACTAATGTAAGTTAAATTTCTACAACTGCAGTACTTGAGTAATTGAGTACCTGAATGTTATATACTGACTTGTATGTCACTGTACCTTATAAAAATAACCATCTGTATTCCTTATGTAGCCTATCAAGAAAAAAAAAATGCCAAAATGAAACAAGTAATGTCCATAACACCACCACATCCCCAACACTGTATTAGCTTATTAGCTGTATAAGAGAATTTTTGGTCTGCATACCGAAGGCCTGGTGGAATCAAAGGAACTTCTCAAGGAAAGGAAACAATCTGGGGAGCCAAGCGGAAAAACAGTGCTTTTTAGTCACAGCTGAAGGATTCATGCCACTTCAATATATCAAAAAGAGAAATCTACTTAACAAAACCTTTTTTTTTTTTTTTTTGGTGACAAAAATGCTAAAGAAAAAAAGTAAAGGAAAGAAGTACATCTGGAAACTTTTTCGAAAATGGATTTAAATTCTTCTCCCTAATATAGATCTAAGGATAAATGTTAGTGGTAGGAAAGGGAAATTACACTCTGCTGAATTTGTTCCTGTTATGATTACAAAATGCCAAATGATTTCCTTTCTCTTGAATAAAAAATAGAGATTATATTGTTAATGGGAACTCCTTTAAGTATTTAAGTTAATTATTATCAAATATTTGCCTGAGGCATTTCAAAATTATTGACAACAAAAGAGAAATTAGTTCGTTAGTTAAACTTTGCATTGCCAGACTTGGAAATATTTTGGGTGTAACACATGACCTAGAACATATAATCAGTTTGAGAAGTATTCAGATGTTCTTATATGTTTCTCATATTAAATTAAATTCCCTTTAAACAAGAGCAAATAATTCTGTGTTTCTTGGGCATCTTTTCCTGAAGCTTACAAAAAAATCCTTATATAACTTGTATGCAAATTCTGCCAGAAATTGTATGCAATTAATTCCTACATATATACCAGGGCTTCCCCAGAACAAAACCAGGAAGCTGCCTGTTATTCTTATGCCTTTTCTAGACACGTTAGTTTTACAGTGTTCTGCCAAGTGACATTCTGACTTCTGTCAAATTAGAAGCACATCAAGTCAATCTCAAGTATGAAAATTTGTTCTCTAAACCCATACAAATAGACTCATTACTTACAGCAAAAAAAGGTTTGTGTCATATTTTTGTTAGCCATCTATATTCAATAAAATGAATGTTTAGTATACTACTATGAATATTAGAATAAATTTAAAATATGCATCTTCACATTCATGGAAATATACAGAGCTGGCTTCATCCAGCAGCATAGGAGTACACTAGGATGTGGATGATGCTGTCTATACCTGCAGCAATTCATCAGAAGTTTCTAGTAAGTAAGGTACATTCCATCTGTCGTGCTGATTCTGACTAAATTATTCTGGGCTATTTTACAATGTATCTGTAAGCTACAGAAAATGAAGAATACCAATAATTTCTTAGTCATTAGGATCATAAAAAAAGACTAAGAGCTAGATAATCTACAGATAGATAGCTAATGTAAGATTTAGGATTAACTAAGGTCCTCAATTTCAAAGCTCCTTTCTAAAAAACCCTAAGTGCTGTCTAAACCTAGAAACACTTCGACACTTGCACATTAGAGTATAGTTCCTCTGAGCTGTGATGCTCAGATTGGTGCAAAAGCAAAGATGGAAGATTCCTGAGGATGGATATGGAGAAGTTCCTGTTCTTTTGCATAGAATAGTAGCTTGCTCAACACAGCAATGATAGAGTTGCCTGTTTAGACTAAAATGGGAAGACATCACCAAGAAACAGAAAAAAAAAAAGTAGAAGTACCAAAGTTCTGCCTAGAAACATGCCTATAAAACAAATTGTTCCTATTTGTATTTGGAATAACAAAAATGTTACAGAGAGGACCCTGATTAGGATGAGAAGCAACACTGGGAGTGTCAGGGCTGCACCAGACCTCTCCAGGGCCATATAGACACATCCCTGTGAGTAACCATGAGTAATCAAGAAATGACAGCAGTATTAGGAGAGAAACAGGAAAAAACTGTCCATGGAAGAGGTAATGTATGTGTGTGTATTGGATATGTTTAGGCATGAAACCTAAACACACCTTGACCTATCATAATAAAGAGGATAGTTGTAGCTACGCTATAAGCAATCCTTGCATTATTATTTTATTTATTTATTTATTGGTAGATTTAGAATTAAAAGTTATACGTTATGAAATGTTAAATCTGTGCCCAGACTTTATATTTTCCAAACAGTGAAAAAAGGGCTCCCTCATCTCTCTAGCTTGTTCTTTGAATATATATGAAATCGTTCTTTACAGTAACCTTGAGAGCACTTCAGAGGCTATTGTCAGGTCTTCTGAGGCCATGTGGCAACTTGGGCTGAGCAGTAAAATGAGTGAATAAATATTTTTGTCATTGTTTATGATGAAGCTATACTGTTCTTACTCTTTTATTTATTATTTCATTTTTATTTTGTTTTATTGGTACTCTTGAATATCTACTGTATTCAAAACCTGTGCAAAGTATGTACACAGACATGTCCAAGACTAATACAGGATTTTCTGTTGAGGTCCCACAACAACAACCAAAACCCAATGCAACTGCCTATCAAAGCATTAAGTTCCCTGCTAATCACAGCATCTAGCATTTATACCATCAAGACTGTAACAATTCAGTGGTTGAAATACTTTATAAGCTAAGGAAATCAAATGGTTCCGGTACCTTCAGTTAAGACAGTTTTATGCTCTGCTCTCTGTTCTGGGTATCTTCTATGTACTTTAAAATCAGAGAGGTGTGTAAAAATTCCTAGAAATAGAAAACAAAGTCAAGACCTCTCTCTCATGTGAGTATCCTAACAAAGTCACGCTCCAGTCCTCATCAGTGAGCTTTAAATGTTTTATAAATTATGGATTGAGCAACAGCCCCTTGAAAGAGAGGTGTTTAGAGAGGTGTTTGCATACTAAGCTATACTTTAAAATGCTTCAGAGCATAGATACCTCTATCATTTAATTTCTCTCAGTAGTTTGACAGATGCACTTTTTGGGAGAGCAGATATCTGAAACCATTCTTTATAACTAAAACAGATGGAAAATTTTCAGTAAACCATAATTACATTTCCCAGTGGCTAGCTGTAGGCACCTTTCTCTGTACTGTAGTGTTTGTTTAAGATCCTTTTCTGAAATGAAGAATAACTCACAAGTTAGCTTAAGTAACAAGAAAAGCATCTACTACTCTCAGCTAATCTCTAAATCACCTTTCTTTCCCCATGAACCTGTTGTTTTTCAGTAGCAATTGTTTAGCCACATGTCACTGGTTTACCAGCCACCTTCTGGCTGGTAAATTTATCATCTAGCTTAATTGTCACTACTCCCTGTCTCTGCTAAGGTAATCTAAAAATCCTCTACAGTTTCTTTTAATAACCTGGAATCTAACGGGAAATTTGAAGCAGTTAACAGAGGTTAGCTATCCATTCAGCCTCTGAAAGAGGAAACCTAAAGACAGGCTGGATTGACAGCTCAGGATAACGTTTTCTGTTTCAGTTCCCTGACTTGCATTTGCCTGTCCAAGCATTGTGTTCCCAGTGAACTTAGGCAGTCAAGGCACACAGGCTATAGTTCTGGTCTTTAAACTGTGAAAGACACTCAAGTTCAGCAAAGCATGTTCAAATGTTCCACTAACCATACCTATTTGTATACATATATCTTCTATAAATTCTTACATGGTCATTTTACAAACCAGAGGAAAAAAGAAAAAGTACTTCCAGAAACCATCATCAGTCCAAACAGTTTAGAGAATACCACAATGAAGAAATATATCTAAAGACGTTTTGCAAATTTAATATGGCTTAGTCAACATGCAAAAGAAGATAGTGAACTTAATATATATAGATTACATTTCCATTTCCATTACTGTCCTGGACAAAACATCCTTGACTTGGGGAATTTCACTTTATTTGATTTATTGCCAGTTAACATAATCTTTTAACTACTGAACTGAGTACTGAGGAAAAATAGACATACAACTTACGGTCACCTAAGCTAACAGTTTTCCTCTCCCCTCTACAGCCTCAACTTCAGTTCAATACCTTTCTTTCCCCTAGAAAGTCTCCATTCCCACAGTTTTCAGCAGTCAGCTCTGCCTTAGTCTGCCAGGCTGCAGGGGTATTATGGCTCCACAGTCCCTCAGACCTCTTGTAGTACTACATCTTCCAAGAGCACATCTCCAGCTCTATTCTTAGCAATATCTCCTTCCATGTGTCTCCTGCACTTCCTCCTTTTGTTTCTGAGGAAACAAACAAACAAACAAACAAACAAACAAAACTTTTCATATCTCCTTGCGTATTTCCTGCGAAGGTTCCTACATCCTGCAGCTACTGACCTTTCTCACTGATGTATGAGAAGTGGTGCCACATGGTCCTTAGACTGGTTGAAGTTTTGGTCTGCAGTTGGCTGTTTCCGTTTGTTTCCAACTCATCTGGACCTGGCTGTGACTATTAGTTCTTGACCTTTTCCCATAGAAGACACCCTGCACCTCCTGCTACTTAGCCAGTTATGCCCAAAAGTTGGCTGCCTAGGAAGCAACAGGTAAAAGACTATCATGTTTTTAAATAAATATGGACAAGTATTGATCTACTCTGGAATTACCAGGAAATTAAATACTCCCCAGTTACAGGTGCAGGTCTCTTCTGGAATGCCAGTTTTTCTGACATCATTGAAAAGGTTGTTTATTAATGAACCCTAAATTAAATCATTTTTTTTCTTCCTAGATTTTTCTATTAACCTCTGAAGAAGGTTAAATAAGAAGCAGGAGGCCAGAATATTTTGTATCATAGCATCCTTGTATCTTTCAGCTGCCTTCTGAACATATTTCAAGCTAAACCTTCCCAAAGGCTTTTCCACAGGTATATTTATCACCAGGCCCTAAATAGTTTATATTATGCATGATTTTTATTAAACATGAAAGACTTTCAAATTAATTAGACAGTTGATTAGTTGGTAAGCCTGTTTGTCATTGCTATCACCCCCAACATTTTTCACTGCATAACTGATAAGTTAAATACCTGATTATACTGAAAGTTAATTGGTTTTTAATAGAGCATCTGCAGGGGAAAAAAAAAAAAAAAAAAAAAAAAAAGTTGTAAGCTCCAAGGTATGTGCCAATCAAAACATAACGGTTTTTAACTGGAGAAGATTAACACATACTACTACATAAGGTTTGAACTTGCCTTCCTTCTCCCTGAAAGTTACTTGAAAAGATAAAATTCTTACCCGAATGGGTACAGTTTGAATAAGATTCATTACTTCTTCCTGCTAGCCCTGCTTACACAATTGCTTTCATACTGTTTCTTTAACTTCAGTGTGATTTTACATCAGGGCAAAGTGATCAAAACTAATATAAGGCAATTCATTGTGCACAAACTGTTTACCTCGGAAGAGTTTTTGAGCAGTACCTAGCAATACCAAGAAGAAAACAGGAAACAGAAAATTAGCTGTTTATCTTTGAAGAGAAATACAAATATCAAGGCTAAAGATGCATTTCTAGTCCTAAAATGAAGAAAACAAGAAAACAAGGCTTTTTTTTTTTTTTTTTTTTTTTTTTTCAGGGAGGAATAAAAGAGATAGAATAGCCTTATTCTCTAAGAATCAGAGGTATCAGTTCTGAGCAGGATATTTTTCAGTAATTTTTGAAATTATTACAGGTCTTAGCAACTGATAGAATTCTGTTTATTTAAAATATTCTTAATCATGATATTTGTAACTCTTATAAGGTTGTAGCTTTGTGATATAATTCTTATAAGAATCCATTTCAATAAATACAGACTTTAAAAAACACATTTTTTATGTTAGGTAGCAACATACTGGAACATGGAATATAATTACATAATAAGGACATTAGGGTTAAAGAATTTCATATTTACTATACAATTCTTAACATTAAATATCCTGTGGAAGTACGGATTTCCTTCACTGCATATCTGGATCCATACTCCCACGCACATTCACTCTACCTCTATCTACGTTAGAAGAGTTTAATATTTCTGCACCTTTATGTATAAATTCTCTTCTACCTTCTACTCTTGCATTTCCAGCTTTAACATTTTATTATTATTTTTTTTTAATCAAGTTTCTGTCTTGATCCCCGCTTTGTTCTTTTATATTGTCTTTTATTTTTTGGAACCCTAGTTTTTCCATTTCCTTAAGTACTGCTGTTCTTAGATTTTAAAATGTCATGTTGTTTTATCTTGATTAGTGTTCAGAAAACCAAAATGTTAACTAAATGCATTACAACATCAATATTGGTCTCCTATCTAATACCAGCCATAGATATTCAGTCTTGGCATTTTTGATGTTATCTTGTTAAAACTCTTGGTAGAAGAAATCTGTTATTTTCCTGAAATTGTTCACCTGACATCAAATAACACCAATTCTTCAAAGCCAAGCAAGCCTTTAATTATTTTTATATGCCTGCTTTATTTTCAAATACATAATGTAGTTAGTTATCTAAATGATCCATTCTTCTTCTCAAAAGAAAAAAAAAATAGCCTTAAGAATACCCAGGTAATTTCAGTGAAGCATGTTCTCATAGTTAGGTAGGACTCTCTACTAAAGAAGTTACATCATCTTAATGGAACAGGTAAACAGGTATAACAGGGATTAGGCACACATTAAAGATTTATTCCAGTGTTTTCATAACAGTTAAAAGAATAGAAATCTACTTACGGTGATTTTTATCACTTTCATAGACTCTCCTGAGGTCTACTAATACCAGTGATATTCTTGTCAGTCCAAATTGTCTTAATTGCAAAGTTAAGGTTCTGGCATTCTGAAAAGGTTGATGTTTCTATGAGAATACTTCAATGTGTGTAGTTAAGAACCTGATAGCATAACAGGTGCTCATTCTGGAGAAAAAAAAAAAAAATCTATCTGTTTCGTATAAGCCTTTGCTTCTCCAAGTACTGGTAGACCTAATAGGTATTGTCACAGTGACAGCGTTTGTAGTGGCCTTCAAGAGTACAAGAACAAGATTATTATTATTATTATTATTATTATTATTATTATTATTATTATTATTATTATTATTATTATTATTATTATTATTATTATTATTAACAATAATAACAATAACAATAATAATAATAATAATAATAATAATAATAATAATAATAATAATAATAATAAAAGTTATTATTAAAGAAATGCAACCTTGAGAGCTGTTAAGAGCTGGGGTGAGCTGGGATGAACTGTTTTAGGGCAATAGGAAATGAGCAAAAAACATATATCCCACATGCATAAACATCCTTATACAGTGAAAACACAAAAAACATAATCAGAAACAGGAATAGTTCTTCCATAAGGACAATGGTGTCCATCCCCAGCAGAACTCTTTAATCTGCATTAAAATATTTTTTCTTTCCTGTTCTAAACATAGATGGTGGACATGCTGGTACTAAGCCCAGCACCAGAACAAAAAGTATCAACAGAACTGGAAGTACGTTTTGCTTATCATTTGAGATTCAAACCTGCTTTAGAAGAATTAGAGCCACAACAGATTAGAATACATAAGACCATCACAACTCCTATGATAAAAAGACCAAAGACAGAACAGAGAGAGAAAGAGTTCTGCAGCATTTTGTCCCCCAGTTGAACCTGATCAATACCACTGCTTAAGCATCATCAAATCTTTCTTCTCCTTTTGAAAGAGAAAGCAACGCTTGTAGTTTTACCATTAATCACATTTTCCTTTTGCAACCCAGCAGCTACTTACTACTATAAAACGGGTATTAGCATATTAGAACATTAAAACGCAGAGTGTGTTTTTGTTTACTGTGTGTATATGTATGAATGTGTATGTGTAAAATATGTGTTTCCTGCTCTAGACTTGTCACACAAAGTGGCAGATACTGCAACAGCAAAAGCAAATCAGAATAAGCTCAGATGCAACCTAGCTACTTAATAGAATGCACAGTTGATGCAGAAAGCTGCAAATTCTCTGGTGAATAACCTAAAAATTCTCTGGTGCATCAGAATTGGCATTTACATAATTATTCATTCTATCCCATAGTCTTTCATGAAAGGACATAGTGCCTAGTTCTTAGATACATGCACTATATATCTTAAAAGACACCACACAGCAAGAGCCAAAAGCAGACAGTGTTAGTCAGTTCGTAGTTCTCAAGAACTAAAACAGGATTTTTTTTCCAGCAGCATCTGAAATCCATGTGTTTCCTGGAATTTACACAACTTCAGGCTGCAGGAAGGCATTTCTAGAGACTTGATTATACTTAAGAGTTGGTACCTATTAAAGAATTGAAATACACTCATGTTTTTCTTCTTTATTGTATCTAGAGAATAGTAGTTTTGCTGATTCTTTGTTTAGCTTCCAAATAGTTTAAAAATTCACTGTGGAACAGTGAAAAGAAGACTAAGGCAGTCTACGCAATAAAAGAAATAGGTACCTATATTTAGGAGTGTTTCTTCACTAAATAAGAGAGGGACAAAAGCATGACATGAGTTTTCTGATCCCATTTGTAGACTCAGGGACATGAATTCTATCTCCAGTTCTGTGCTAAGCAGCCTATTTCTCCTTATGGTTAAAAGCTGATTTCTCCTTTATGGTCTAATCATAATGACCCTGTCTTGCAGGGGACAGAGAAGCACTTCATACCTCACTATGATACACATATGGCGAAGTACCAACACAGCTCATGGGTTCAAATTTATGTGTGCAAAATGCTGCTTTATGGTGAAAGAGATTAAACACTGGAATAAGTTGCCCAGAGATGTTGTGGAAACTCCATCTTTGGTGATATTCGAAGCTCAACTGGATATAGCCCTGAGCTACATGCTTTAGTTAACCCAACTTCAGCAAGAATATTGGTCTAGATGACTTCTGGACATCCCTACATACCTTACCTGTTCTGTGATTCTGTGTAAGATTAAAGGGCCTATTTTTTCATTTTAATGTGAATTCAAATACCCTAGCCAATTCAGAGAAAACATTGTATCTAGAAGAATTAGAAATATCTACATAATATCAATGAAACCTCACCTACTAGAAGACTCATGATTTTTTTCCAATTTTAAAAACTGCTATCTGATCAATATAGAGATATGAACCTCACTAAATAAACCTTGTAAAAGATTTGTTATGATATTACTGCACAGTGTCCTCATGAAGACCTTAGCCTTCTCAGAAGAGAAAGCTACAGCTGTGGAATCAGTAATTCTAAAAGAAACTTATTCACTGACTCCAGTCCAGTGAGCAAGAATGAAACAATACATCTAACAAATCAGTGTTTGGCTGTCATTCTAAGAAGACAAAGGCAGTAAGCTGACAACTTCAGAAACAGCAGAGTAAACCTTTGAGAACCTCCTGGCTTAAAACCAAGCATAACCAATCAAGCAGCTGTGCAAATATACTCACAAGTCCCATTTTACTTGACAGCTCCCAGCAATCAAGAAACGTGGCAAAAAGAACCATCAGAATGAAGATTTGCTCACTGATATCAAACCAGCTTTTGAGAATGACTGTCAGCTTATGTCATAAGGTTGGAAAGGAAGATGAGATGA